AAAATGATTATGTTAAAAATACTCAAAATAATATTCCATTTCTAAAAGACGTATATAATGTGTTAAGTTTTGAAGTTGACATAAATGTAACACATGAAAACATTACAAAAATAATAACATATAGATTGTATGTTAATTTTACAGAAGTACTAATCAAAACGTGTGGTAAACACAAGAAAATCTTAACATGTGGATGCGCAATTTTTTACTGTGTAAAAAAAGAGAATCGTGCTACATGTCGTGCCTAAAGGCAAAGAGAAGAAAATCTCGTCGATGGAAAATTCTGAAGCGTACAATAGATTGCGATTTGCAAAACCACGCGAATTTAACGCGCGTTATAATCAATGAAGTGGCTCCGGACACCTCTCAGGCTTTGCTCAATTACGCTCCTGGGTTGTTTAATTAATACGCCTATAATTCGCGGCCTTTGCGTAATTATATACGCTCACATTGTGAATACCTGTGTAGATCCGGATAATCCGTGGCCTGCTCCGGATGCTCGTCGCGCTCGAGGAAGGACGAGGGAGAGGAAGGGAGAGAGAGAGAGAGAGAAAGGGAAGAAAAAGAGAAATAAAAGATTTCCGGCATAAACTGAAACTCGCTTTCGCGAACATTCAGGACATGTATGTTGCATGCGTGTGCATATTCCTTCCAAACATCGCGATGTGACATTTGTTTTTCGGCCGCGAGATTGCCGGCAATATTTTTGAAACTGGTTTAATGCTCGCGACAGAACGAGAAAGAGAGGAATCAGAAAAGAGAAAAGTAATCGAAGGATGCCGTTTGTTTCTCTTTACCCGCGAGGTATCCGCGGTTGAACGAATTGATTGTGATATTAATGCAAAATTATCGACAAAGTGAGCACACTTGGAGGAGATTCCAGCGATTAAGTCTGAAACATTCGCGCGGGATTTCGTTAATTCCGCACGAAATGATGGGAAATTTTCGTCTCCAGCTGCCGTAACACTTTTCGGCGCTTTGCATTTTTCGTGATAATCCGGATTATAATTAAATATACAATCGCAATCGTAGAATCGTTTTCGAAATCGAATTTCCGACGTCGAGTCTCGCGCTTGTATAATTTCCAGTTAGTGTCCCCATAATGTCTCTAAATTGATATATGGTTCAAGTATTTCGATTTTAAATACGCGGGATCTTTAGATTCTTTTCGCGTCTGTTCGAATCATCTTGATTTGGATTTTTTCGAATCTCTCTCGTATTCTTGATTTTTATTGGAGACGTTGATATTTATAGTCTTTTAAATCATCGAATCCCCGCTGCGAGTGATTTCTTCCTTTTCATCCACAAGGATATTTAAATTTCGACTTTCGCTTACGAGAGTCGCGGTATTTCGCTATCTACGATACATACCATAGAACATACCATCTAGTAGAAACACGTTTGTATTAATTGAGATTCGGATTAACATTTGACTTGGCATTTCGCTGTGATTGCTATCTACTAAGCGGGGGGAGGGGGGATATCGATAAATCGTGCGTGTAATACCGCTATCAACATGTATTACTTGGATGACGCGATATTTAATAAATCGTCACATGCAAATCACGAGTCGGTTTCTTGGTAGCCTTTCGCGGCTAATTATTACAAATGGATTCTAATTGATTGAACGGAAAAAGGTGTTTACGTCGTACGATGCACGTAAAGAGCAAGGTCTTTTTTTGGGAAACGTTTTTTTTGTTCAGGAAAACACTTGTATGTAAGACCGTGACGCGGAAAAACAGATGGAACTTTCCTCGTAAAACATTCCTACTTGATGCATGGATTTTATATTAAATTTAATTATCTACCCTAATCATTATATTTTTTTTATATACCTTCAATACCAAATATCTTATGTATATTATGTCTTTATGTCTTTTTATTATGTATTTATGTCTTTTTGTCTTTTGATTTTTTAATAATAGATTTAGTCTTTGAATTTTTTAAACATGAAAAGTGTGTGTTCTTTTAGATATTTATTTTTGAGATCTAGTCTTACCTTTTTTTAATTTTATCGTGTTCTATTGCGTTTCTCCCCGATGCTCGAGCGACGCTTCGCGGGAACGAAATTCTTTCCTCCTTTGGCTCGTAAAGTACTTTAAAATATAGCATAATTATCGTAATATACGCTCCAGGTGTGTTTCACTTCTTTATGGGGAAAATTAACTTTAATCGGTGGAAAGACACTTTTATCCAGCTGTGTGTGTCGGTTACGCATCGTAAATCATCTCCCGTGTTCAATGTCAGTTCAATGTAATCGCGGCTATTTATGCATTTGTATCTCGAGCGCGGATGATCGCGGTGAGGACACGTCCCATCGACGAGGCACATGCGTGTCCTTACGATCGTAATCTACAATGTGCCCCATAAACTCTTCGAACACAATTCGCGAGAATAAAATATATGCCCGCATAGGACGTCATCTTCCCGCATTCTCCGCGACGATGGACGAAATGTAATAAATAAAAAAGGCACACCGTGTATTGTAATAAAAACGCAATAAAACTTAATAATCGATCGTAAATTAGAGGCTTGTAAGTGTGTCTGATGACAAAATCGATCGTTTCAAAATAATTTATTGACGAGAAATCACAAATAAAATCAATATTTTTTTCATTGACACCGATTTCTCAGATGAAAAGTCGCCGGCTTGTTCGCACACGTGTTGTTGGGAAATCAAGATAATCGAGTTTTCGATCGCTCATCGAAATAAGATATCGAGTCGATGCGTGATAAATTTATCAGACGACCGTGATGTATATTTGTACATGTGTGCGTATGAGGGGAGGGGGCTGCAGAGTCAATCATGTCTACAACATTCGTATATACGACCGCATACATTCGTTAGTCGGGGATCGAAGCCGGTCACGGGAACGGGACTTAAAAGTGAGGCCTGACGAGAAGGGCCTGAAAAATGCCCAAAGACTCTCCTCTCGGGCCACCTGCAGCCGTTAAGTCTCAACAGTTGCGGCGCCGCGCAGCCGCCTCTATATTTCATATTAGCGATAATATTTAAGTCCGGCTACCGCGTCTCTCTCTTTCTCTCTCGCTCCCGTGTCGTCTCCCCGCGAACCTCCACGCGTCTCGTTCTAGAATCATTCCCTATGCTAACGAGCTCGTTGACCGTTCTGCTCGATTCCAGTCATTAACAGTCTGTCATCTCCGATAGTTCATTGACATACATCTGCTTGGTAAAGGAATACTGTCTCCTAATTTTTCGTACACTTTTTGACACATCGTACGTTTATTTTATAATCTAATTTTGACATTTTGAGGGACATAATGAGACGTGAGTGTTACGTTTTATCCCGGATGCTCGATCATCCTCTCTTACGGAATTAATTCTAATCCAAAGTAATTCTATCCTCCGATCCTGACGATCCTGTACGTCTTGTCGCGCAGATTGCCCCCGAAAACGATAAGCTTGAGGGAATGTGGGAGCCAACATGGGATGCGCGCGCGTTACATGATGATACCGTCGCGGGGAATTTGTTTCGTCGCGGCACATTGTTTCGGACAGGAAATCGATACGCGGGCCTTCGCCCCGCTTGCCGCGCCACCCTCTCTATCCGCAGTATCTACCTGCGACAGAGGGTGCTTCTCTCTCTCTCTCTGTCTGCGGAAGTGGGATTCTCGCTTGAAACTTTAACCCGCCTACCTTCCACGCGACTTCCGAGCGATACGGAGCTATGCGAGACGCGGAGTATCTTGGAAAAACCTGGGCAACCTGAGACGAGACTTACCTGAGATCGATCTCGCTTTTGTCACAAATGTTGAATCTCTCAGAAATTTATTTCTTAAAAATCGAGTTTTAAATTTTAAGGTCAAATCGGATTCCCTTCGTTTAATTTTAAGCGAATCTTTCCTGTACACAGTAAAAAATTATACGTCCATATATTAAAATTTTCTTGTGTTATAATTTTGATTAGTTACTTTAATGTAAAATTAACATACGACTTATATGTTATTATTTTTATAATGTTTTCATGTGTTACATTTACGTCAACTTCATAACTTAACACTTTGTATGTGTCTCTTAGAAATGGAATATTATTTTGAATATTTTTAACATAATCATTTTAAACAATCAACATGTCCCAAAGTCAGTTTAACATTCTAAGAAAAGTTAAAGTGAATCTTCAAATAATCTTGAACTTTGACACACAAAATAATCAAAGTGACTAAAATCAAATGTTTCTATTACAAATAATTTAAGTCAAAATACTTACTATTATATGTTAATGTCCTACAATAATTCTTCGAGTTATTGTAACTATTTTTTCATGTAATTTGTACAATAATTAATTTATATATTATTTTTACGTTACACTTAAAGTCACAATAACAAAAATAAATGTAAAGTATCGTGCCAATTATTTAACATTTTTAGTTTATCAATAAGTAACACACGACGAATGAGTTATTTTAACTTAAAATTTAGAGTGGACTTTCTGGGACGTCTGAAAAATGTTATAATTAACATTTTATTTTTTACTGTGTATTATCGGAATCGAGATTCGAAACTAATTTTTATCGAGGGTAAGATCCGATAGCGATTGCGATATCTTTATAGCATAAGTTTTCTTGGCCTCTGTATTTATTATTTCTCATATCTGCTCGAGAGATTACACCGTGGACTCATTCGTAGAAGCATAAAAGTCGAGGAGTGAGCTACTTTTCGTTGATAATCTGCCTGCGATAACTGGTGCCAGCATCCAATCTCGGAAACGAAATATGTTAACTCGCAATTAGATACAGAGACGCGTACGCTAAATAATCACGCGAGAACTTGCGATAATCGGCGACTTAAGGCGCGCGTTTCGCGCGAGACATCGTCGCCGATCGCGACGATAATCGTACTTTATTATTATTAGTCGTATCGCGATCCCGCGCACGACCATATGCGCGGAATTCATTAGGGGAAGCGGATCACTTTCTCGCGCTTCATTTCCGAGACGCCGGACGGATATAATCGAGCGGTGGATCTCTGCTTGTTGCAGATCGTGCTCAACTCGATGCACAGGTATCAGCCGAGGATACACTTGGTCCGTTGTCGACACACCGACGACAGCAGCCTGCACATCAGCGACCTTCAGAAGGAGGAGCACAAGACGTTTATCTTCCCGGAGGCCATTTTCACCGCCGTCACGGCGTATCAGAATCAGCTGGTGAGTGCAGAATAATAGTCAATTTATGTACAACGTTAACTCGGCAAAGAAACAAGCGATTCAAGCGAATCGGCGAACATCCAGCAGGATTGATATTCTTAAGATTGAGAATCAGTCTTGAAATTTTGAATTTTTTATTTCCTCTCAAAAAAGAAATTTTCAGTTTATCGCGAATGCAGAAATATCTGTCATATTTGAATTATATAAATTTTGTCATAAATTGATGTTATATAACACGAGTTTTATTTTAATTTAAATTTTTCTTTCGCAGAATCGCGACTATATTTTAAAACACACTTGAGAAGAATGTTGCATTTAATAGAATAACATGTTTCTGGTTAAATTTGCAGATAACGAGACTGAAGATCGATAGTAATCCGTTCGCCAAGGGTTTTAGAGATTCGTCGAGACTCACCGACTTCGAACGGTACGCATAGATTCTCGATACTCGATCTTTTTAAAAAACACAACGATATTTTCTCTAGGATATCTAGATTTGAATCGTGAAAGAGGATTGGATTATAAGCGTTTCCGACTTGGAGACACTCGTAATTATTATTCGCGTATCGGTAACCGATCGAATAATAATTTACAAAACTCGATTAAAATATGCTCAACTAGTAGCCAATCTGTCTGCGCTGCACTCTCTCTCTCTCTCTCTCTCTCTCTACTCACAAGTATTTCGAACCGTCCGATCCCGGCAAACGCTTTTCTGCATAGTGGTGTAACGAGCAATCATAGCGCCCATTTATAACGTCCGGACGTTGATCGAGCGGCCGCTAAATTAAAACCTATATTTTCGAATGAAATATCTATAACTCCCGTGTCGGCACGGCGTCGACGTCCTTACTGGAAGGGGTTAATTAAAACGCGATTAGAGTGTCAGCGCATACGTCATCCGGACCGACGATTTCCTCGATTCTTTCTCGCGCGAATTATCCCAGATCTCTAATTGCCCTCGAAAACTCTTGAAACGAAATTGCGAGATTGGGCAGAAAAAGGTTCGACACGCGATAAACGCTAATTATTGACCGCTCTTATAATTGCTATTTAATTATAAGGAAGAGTTACTATATATTTCTTATTAACATTCTCCCTCTCTCTCTTCCTATATATATATATATATATATATATATATATATATATATATAGAAAGAGAGAGAGAGAGAGGGACAATCTTAATAAGAAATATATAGAAATATACAGCAATTATATATTTATATATATATAATATATATTCCTAGACAAAATTAACGCTTAATTTTGTTTCACTTTTTCTTTAAAAGATGATATTTAAATTTTAACGAAAAATTTTAAAGAAAAAGTGAAAAAAAATATGAGTAAAAAGTATAAAAATATATAAAGATTAGTAAAAAAATACTAGTTCTTTATAATTAAACAACAATTTATACACTTTGCGTACTTTGACCATTATTTCGACATTTCCGTGACAAATTTTTATTCGACCTTCCATCTCGTTTTTTGTCTCATGTTGCCTCTTGCATTGCAAGGTTTGACCTATCGACACGCGAATCTCCTCGATTGTAGCGTCACGGGCGGTCATTACATCTCATTAGAACGTCGGCACCTTAATCGCGCCGACTGAATTATCGCTTAGATCTCTCTCGTTCATGGCGGAAATTTACAATAACGTTAAACACCGAATGTTGGAGACCGAGTGCTCATTCGACGCCGAAATGGGCGCGTGCACACGGCTGATTTCGAATTATCCTCGATCATCTATCTGCATGAATGACGATGCACCTGCCCTGGTCATGCATCCAGTCTCTTTCCCTCTCTCTCTCTCTCTCTCTCTGTTCTCTTCGCATTTAGAGCTGAAGCGGATACAGGCGTGACAGAAAAATATATTTATATATGTATATGCGTAAGTATATCCTTTTCGTTCAACGCTGCCGTCATCCCGGGATCAACGTTAATGCCGACATCATGATATTAATCGGTGGCTATGATTAATCGATTATCCTTGCTTGTCTCTCGTCATCGAGCTCTTTTATATAAAAAAGTGCATTTTTTCCACCTGGTATGATTGGTATAATTCAGCAGAATATCCCGTTAAATCTTGGAATGTATCTCTAAACAGATGTAGAAAACTATTAATAGCACTCGGAGAGTATAATCAACTTGGTATTACAGCATCTTAAATGAAGACATTTACAGATGCTGATTCATAATTATAAAAATAATAAATTGTATTGACAATTTTAAAAAATGTTTAGAGAAGAATTTAAAATATATATAATATGTATAATATACATATATCAAGTTTAGAGATTCATGTATAATTCATATGTATAATATACATATATCAAGATTTATAGACATAAAAATGCTGTAAAAGCATTTATATTTATATTTATACTTTTAATAAATAAAATTTATTATAAAAAAATATATATTTATAATAAAATAAGAAAGAAATATAATAGTATAATAATAGAATTAACAAGGACGCATTCGATTAATTTTTACGTAACAACTCGACAAGTATGCAAAGATAAGGCACATCTGTAAGGCACAGTTATAAACCACGCCACCGTATCAAGATCGAGAATTTTATGTTCGACTTTCAGCCGCAGCTTTACGTTTAAAAATTGATTAGCTCGCCCTCTGAGAGAGGGATAGGGGAGCTGCGGTCCCCGCGCGGGGGTCTTGGAGATTCGGTACCATATTTTACGAAAAACCGTCTGGTGCTCTCGCACCCGCCCACCGATCCTCAGAAATATATTAAAGGAACACGGGCGCGCGTTAAGCGAGGCAGGACTCTCGTCACGCCTCTTCCAATTTGCACGTGATCGCAGCTGGGCCAGCGTGGATGCCACTTTCACGAAAACTCCCGTACCTCGGGATCATTCGCGATTAATTAGCTCATATTTCAGAACATCGCCGCTCGTAACTCGCGCAATTAAAACCGCGCGTGTTTATTTATTTATTTATTTATTCATGAGAATTCCGAAAAATCCGCGACTCGAAATTCGCCGAACACGGCCGGATTATGATATCGCTGATCGCGGTACTTGACGGCGCATTTAAGTGTCACCATTACCGCCTCATTACGATCGGATAAACAATTTAATTGCACTTGGCTTCTCTCGCGAAGCAGGTGTCTCACGACAGGTACGCCGATGTTCCCGCGATTGAGAAGAGCAAACAAACAAAAAACGAAAGCAATCGAGAAAGGAAAGATGAAGAAGGTAAAAGAGATGGAGAGAGATTTAATTTATTAACACCTAAGAGCCACAACTTAATTCTTCGGAGAACACGCACAATATATTTCAGATAACACCGATGATTTAAATAGAATATATAATTTCGAGTGGAAAAATTTGTATGTAAAATCTTAATTCTCGGTTATTAATTCTTCAGAATTAATTTCTCCTACGTACACTCTGCAAAACTCGGACGTTAAATCTTGAACGCTTAATTCAGAATCGTAAATTATAAACATTGAAACTCGAATTCGCCGCAACTTTCAGGCGCGAACTCTTCTTATCAGGAATAACGTGAATAATCCTCTCAAAAATTGCACAATAAAGACGAGATAATGGAAAAAATAAAAAGCTCCGGAGAGAGAGAGAGATAGAAAAAAGGATAAAGAAGGGATCTGAATGAAGAGTTCGCATTAGGGAGGGACGACAACTTTATTGAGTGCCCGTTATCGATTTGCGAACACCGTATGTACGCGGGTCGATTTGCATAAAACCTTGAATCGCAAGTCCGAGAAATCGCCGTTAACAATCTAATGGGCGTGCTCGCGCCCGGCTACCGGTGTGTCGTTCTTACTTATTAAATGAGGCCGAGAAGTCCGGCGGCGAGAGAAGTTTGGATCCGGCGTCGCTCGTGAAAAACCGTCGTCGCCAGAGACCGACGATAAAGGCGGCTTTTAATTACGAACCGATTTCAGTGCCGCTGCGCCCGCGCATCCTTGGAGCATCCTGGATATTATCGAGAGGCGCGTTTATTGTCAAGTATGCGCATCGTATTATCGCCTCGGTGCTCGTTCTTCTTGTTTCTCCGACTCTCCCTTCCCGTAGCTCTTGGTTTCTTCGCAAGACCGGTTGTTAAAAAATTAAATCGCGCGAGAGCGGCAAAAACACGCGAACTTCTCGTTTATGATTATTAATAGCCGAAGCGCGCCATCTCCTCTCCCACTCGCGAATATTACGCCTGGACGACGATCGCGCATGGCGCGGAAGAAGGCAGTTCTGTGATGGATCGAGCCGCTAGTGCGATATTTTCATGTACGAGCGCTATCGCCCTGGACATATATCAGAGCGAATTTATGCTGCTTGTCTATTAAAAGGAAACGCGCGTAGGTAATTTCGCGACGGAAAACGCGCCTCCGAGCATCGCGGGATGCAAACACCAAAGGTCGCGATCAATTTATCTATTTGCAAGATTCTTGAGCCTTCGAATATATTTTATTTGCAATCATCCTTCGCTTTTTTCGCGCTTGTGTTTTAACGTCTCCGATTTCTTAGACGAAAAAATAGATCCTTTCGTTCTTTGCTCGCTGTATCTTTGAATTTCTGGATTATAAAATTGTATGATTTATTATACTCGGGATATCGATTTCTTCTCTGGAATTTTTTAATTCGAAATTTATTATAAAAAAGAATAATTGTGTAATAAATTTCTCTCTTATTTGTCTGACCACAAATTCTCCAACAACGGTATAATTTCGTCTTAATTCGCAGTCGACATGTTTGCACATGCGTTTAGCGTTGTTTCAACAGAGTAATTTCACGGCAAGTCAAGCAATAACGTGAGGTGTATATGTGTGTATGTGCATTTTTAATGACTCTGCATCTCGGTTGCGGATTGCGCGAGCATGATCTCGCCCCGGAATCACTGCCACACCACCGATCCTCCCCAAATCAGCACCTGCCTAACAGGCAGGCCTAAAATCCCGCACCGTCATCCTAAGACTCGTTCGCTATCTCGTGCTCTCGAAAAGTCAATCGAAATGCATTTCGATGCCGTGTAGAAGAAAGAGAGAGAAAGAGAGAGAGGGAGCATCGCGTCACGAGAACTTATCGAGTCTCTTCATCACTATCGATACCTTCTCATCGAGAATCCGCCCCCCTCGTTTTCCAAAATTGCTACACGTGAAAACGTCCCCGTAAAGCTCGTTCAAGATAGACTACCGTGGGACTGTCGATAAAATCTCCCAGGGTCAGTAACACTTTGGCGATAACGCTGTCGCTCTTGGCACTTAGGAGTGCCCGCTTGGGATCCCAACTTTGTTGAGCTATGCTTTAGCTCGTATATATACATATATGCACAGCTCTGATCAGAAATTATCGATAGGCGAAGATCACTCCAAGCGCAGTTGTGTTATCGTGAAACTAATTTTGGAGCCGGTCCTTTATCAGCTTCCTATACTATGTATTATCAGCGGTTTATCCA